CTTTGAAGGAAACTTCAAATTTTGAAATATTGGCTTAAACTTAAAAATACAAACAACTGTATATTAAAAGCATGTTATGAAGAAAAAGTAAGGAATAATGACAAATGGTTTACTGAAATTAAGAATGAATTTGATAAGATGGGTTTAAGTTATCTCCTGTTCCAAAACTTTGATACTTCTAGAGAATGTGTTATAGTTAAGCAAAGATTCTTTGATGTGTATAGTCAAGAAATTCTTCATAGTATTAAGATGTCTACTGAAGGAAAGTTGTATCAACATTTTATAGACCATTTTTGTTTACAGAATTATTTATCAAAACCTATTAAACATGCATACAAAAAATGTATTACAAGCTTTAGACTGTCTAGTCATGAATTACGGGTTGAAGAAGGTAGATATGTTAATGAAAATAGAAATAACAGAATAACAGAAAATGTTTATTATGTGACTTAAATGAAGTAGAAGATGAGTTTCATTTTATATTCAATGTCCTATATATCAAGATCCCAGAATCCAATATATCAAACAGTATTATGTTAAAAAAAACCTAGTGTCTTTAAATTAATACAATTGTTAAGTGTTCAAAATGTCAAAGAAATGTCTAAATTGGGAAAATTTTTGTTCAGTGCTTTACAACGAAGAATAGATTTATTAAATTGTTCGTAGCTTATAATATGTATGTAAACATTTATTATATAATTGAAAGATCTGAATATGTGTATACCTTGTTTATAAAACAATGTACATGTATTTGTCTGATGTGCCATTTGGCATGAGAAAATAAAAAATTGAATTGATTATCAAAGGTCTAAATTAGGTAATTATAAATCAGGTCTTCAAAACATGTATCCCCCTCAGATAATCAAAGCCATCAATTATATACGCTGTGAAAACTAATCAAAACCAATTGATCCCAATTGTGAACCAGTAGAGCAAGCTTAACGGTAATTAAATTAGGGAAATGTGTCAATATACATTTATAAGTGACATAAAAATTATTTTATACGTAACGTATTTACTATGAAAAAAATATTTTTATCAGCGTAACAGAATAGCAGTTTTACTAACCGATATTTGCATCGTTCGACGGTTAACCGGTTACCATTCTTTCTGTTGTGTTTGGCGTGGGGGTTAATTATCATCAAATTCACGGTAGCTTAAGCGAAAGCATATATATGTACCAAATCTTACATAATTTCCTTGACTGGAATAGAAGTATGACTTTAACCATAATGATTTTTTCAAGTTAGACATTGTTTACGTTAAATTTGTTAAATCAACTGGTAATGCAAAAGTCTATAATAATTGAAGTTATATAATGTAACTAGAATTTTCCCATGTAGAGATGCTTTCCATGGACATTAGTTTCACATCCTAGACGTTTTGTTAAAAATATTTAGTTCTGTAAGTATTTATAGATCTCCATATAAAGTTCCTCAAGAAAATAATGGATAAACAAGAATCAAAAATAAAAATATGACCTGACTTTATGTAAATGTAAGGTGTGCTGTTAATGCTCATCTAAACATATATATATTTATACATCTTTGTACTTTGATCACTTGTCACATGTTTACTATACCTGTCAGCTCAGGTATTTTACAATTATTGTTTTGTACTGGTATTTAAACGTTATTAGCAAATACTCTACTGTTTGTAATATACCTTCAATTTTTTTTCATTCTTTATGTATGTTGATTAAATATACTAACTTTTAAGAGGGGCAGTAAAATTTTGCAAATGTTATAACACGTAGTTTACCATTATCTATAGGATAAGGAGCATTTCATTGAAAGATACTGTGATGAATATATTGTGTACAGTTTGTGCTTGATATAGAAAAAATAGGAATGGATGTTGTTTGGGGCTAAGTTAAAGTCTGCCGTAGAAATATGTCACATGAGTATTATTTACTTAATATGTTAGCATGTATGATAATTCGCTAATGCCTATCTCATTCGTTCAATCATTCAAAGTTTATAGGTTCATGACCTCTGATGTCTACTGTTAGCATGTGATGTGTTTGGATGGCTTTTCGGTCAATGCGCATGACTGGTACAAATCTTCTTAACATTTGCCTGCAGTAATATTATTGAACTTAAAATCACTTGATGAACGAAAACCCTCTGAAATACCAGTAGATTGGCGTTACAAGGAGCTAGTTTAATTCTGTCTACATGAACACCATATGAATGATGATTTAGTGTTTTATTTCATACGTGTTGGGGATACAGCCCGTTAGATAAACTTAAGCTTTATCCGCGGGTAGATGCTTTATTCAGAGCGCTTTAGGTTTTGACATGAATCCTCATTCAAGATTTTATATTATTGAAACTTTTTAAAATTTGTGAAATTTCTCACCCTTATAAATCGAATGATAAAGAGCAATTATGTCTTTAAAGGCAATAAAAAGACTCGTATATGTCAAAGAAGTGTCTTATTTTATCAAGATCTAGGAGCTGTAATGGCTACCTGATGACGGTTGTTACCCACCCTCCTCTCCAACTTTTAAATCGTATTCGGAAATAGGAAAGCCTAGCAATGAAGTTATTGTTATAAGATTCATTAAACTAAGCTTTATATATAATACTGCGTATGCATACCTAATAATCTAAGTGTAACTTACCATGGATCAACGATGAATCTACAAGTACTGAAGTAGGCCTAGCTTTGCCTGGCACGTTTTGTACTGCCACCGTACACTGAGTTGATTTTCACGATCCCCCTTCGGGCCTTACAACTTTCAGTCAGAAGTTCGCTTGATTTAAAGCTCCAGCAATTTTCACATTATGTTTCCAAAGACCAAATAGCAAAATTTCTAAATTTTGGAAGACATTCTACTTTCTTTCGAGGAATGTCAACATCAACGGTGCCACGTCATTAAGTTATACGTCATCAATTTGAATAAGCAATTATTCATTAAGTTTTGCAGGGAAAATCTCAAAGTTCGTATATGAGATGAATAGAACATCTATAATTGTGTGATTTGATATTGGCTTTATACAACTCAGTTGAAATGGTATATATTCGCTCGGCAAGTCTCGCGAATATATATACCATTTCAACTCGTTGGATACAGCCAACATCAAATCACACAATATTAATATCCTCTATATATATTTCATACGTCATCAAATACCATCGATTTGAACAAATATCATTGTTTTAATGTTAAACAAATCGAAAAGACTCGAGATATTAAAACTTTGAAGTCCTCACTTTAAAAACACTCGTACTATAATGTAGACGGAAGATAAAAAGAGCAGTGAGGGATCTTTATCGTGTCAACGCCTGCCGCTGACGCGGGGCCTCGGTTTTCGACAAATTATAAAGAACAGAATGTCATGATTAGTCATCTCAATATGAGAGCAAAATTTTGGACAAATTCTGCTTAATACGAATACAAAAAATAGGTCTGCTAATAACGGGATTCAATTATTCGAAATCTTATTAGTAAGCAAATAACATGGTTCCTCACACGTCACGTGACGGTATTCAAGTATATTTAATTTTCAATTTAAAACCTAATTCCTTCTGTTTTATATACTTGCCAGGACTTTATAGAATAGGAAAAGTTATAATCCTTATCATTATATAATAGGAAAACCGTTCTTTATTCGGGATTTATAGATGTGTAAACTCATTCCTTTTTACTCAAAAACTGAAGCTTGTAGAAATAAAGAGATCCTACTTCTACGTGTAGTTTTCATTTATCGACAGTTCAATCCTGCATTTATTAAATATGCTGAGTTTATATATTCATTACCTGGGAAAAGAAGCTGTCATCTGGGTATCAAATATCTTAATCTCTGGGAAAGGGGGACTATTTTATCCATGCATTGGACACTGTCCGATGTATAGACAGTTTTTGTCAAATACATTTGAAATGAATATACTACTAAAACATCTAAGGAAAATGATTACAAAGTGTAAAATGATTTTTTTTATTTTTTTTTCAAAGAAGAAGGTACAGTTTCAATACAAATTAAGAAAGCCCTGTATTTTTCTAAATTATGAAAGTGATATAAGAAATTAAAACTCTTTCTGAATCATAGGAATTCTATGCAGTGAGAATACACAAATCGTTTTTTCTCATATGACCTCCTAAATGCTAATTGTGACGTCATTAACTTGTTTTCGTATTTTCTTTAAAAGTTGCAGAAGACATCAAATTTCAGTACAATTTTCTTTCACAAAACATACTCTGCCACTGTTTTGATATATGTGATTTTTCAAACAAATTTACATAATATATCCAAAAATTCAAGGGGGCGACGGTGGCATACACTATTTTCTAAAGGAAAATGAGTACAGAAATGATTTTTTAGAAGGCTTTTCTGCATTAAACTTCGAAATATACCAAATTAATGACGCCATATTTCCAGAATAGTCCTGCTTAATCATGCCATATTCTTTCATGATTCGTCTACTCAACTCTTGTTAAAGCCAATATTATTACTTTTTAATAACATTAAATTTTTAAGGTACATTAAAGCCCAAACTGTATTTTCTTCCATCAATGATGTGACAAACTTCATACAAGACAAATTCGTTCTCTTGATTTTCTCATTTTCATGTATAATTGTTATATCTGCAAAGGTTGATTATTTTAATGCAGATATTTAATTTTCTTCATATAACTCTTTCCATGGTAAACAACGAACAGATTGTCGTTCGTATTTGTCCAAATTTCCGCAAAATAATTCTGCCCACAATCTATGTAGGATAGGAAGTGTCCATTTTGGTCTATGATTTGGACGCAATTATTTGGAAGGTCACCTACAAGGATGTGTCTGTGACTGTCTGTGGTGATTCCTCGTGGACTGAATGGTTTGTTCTTTGGAGCAGGAGTATGTCCAGTGTACCTGAATCTCAGTTTCCCGACCTGATTGATTACCACTAATGCTTGTAGTCCATTATCAGACACACAGATATCCAGGTTCTTGTTCTCAGTTATGTATTTGATAAACAAAGGGGTATAAAGAGGTTTGCCCTTATCATCAAACTGAATGCTCGATCTGTATCTCTCTGTAACTAGAGTTACTGTAACGAACAACTTTTGATTGCTTCTCATCATCACTCTCTAGTATTACCAGAAGATCACCTGAGGATGTAGTGCAGATACTGTTAGGTCTCCAGTTCTTTAATATGATTACCTCCTTTATTTCCTTATTCTTTACAATGTTAACGCTTTTATAATAGTAATCGGTATAAACTAGATCTCCGCTTTTTGTCACTGCTATATCCGATGGTTCGTTCCCTGATTTAGTTATAACTAAATTAAGTAGTGATCCCTTACTGATGCTGAAGAGTTTCATGGTGTTATCTTGACCAATTGTCCAGAACCCTTCATTTCTCAGATTTTGCACCTTTTCAAACATATTGTACCCCGTGTCTATGGTGGCGACAGTCTCTGGTTCATGCATCAGATGTTTGGATTGAAAAAAGGATTCACTTTCTGATGGTTTCTTCTTCGATTTCAAGCTGTATTTACTTTCATCGGAAGGTTTTGAACTTGCTGATAAAACTCCAAACAATGTATTTAGTTCAGCTTCCTGTATTTTACCTGATGTGAAATTAGGTACAGAAGGTGAAATGTTCTCGGGAATCTTTCTATATGCTTCTACATTTGATTTTACACTCAAAAATTTGCACAATTCTTCCTCAAGTGAATGAATTTCATTTCTCATGTCAGAAATTTTCTGTTTGATTCCATCCAGGTGTTTCTGTAGAGTTTTCAATTGTGTATTTTTTATCTCATCAACTTCAGTTTTAAGTTTTTTCACAAGTTTGTCAATTTGTCTGTGCCAGTCCTCTCCATGAATTGTAATGGCTGTTGAGAGATGCTCAAATTGCATTTTTAACTGGTTTATTCTGTTTTCTGTTTCAGATAAAATGTTCTGGTATATTGGATATAATGTGTCTTTTAATTCCATTTGCTCTTGAATAATTTTGTCCTTCTTTTTACTAAGAATCTGCAACATTTCTGCCAATTTATGACCCAGATGTTGATTAGACGCGAGGCACTTTGTGCAGAGAGGAATATCACAATGCTTGCAGTACATTTTACATCGTTCTTTTTCATGAGTTACACATCCAGGGTAGAGGGGAACAGTTTTTTCTGTTCTTAAAGTTAACAATTTTATGAGGTTTTGAAAGATCCCCAGAAACATGGTTACCTACACAAGCTGTACACAGGTTGACAAGACATATATCACAGTGCATCTGTACCACAACTGTCTCACACAGGTCACATCGCATGATGTCTTGGGCAGTGGTTTTGGTATCCATTATTCAGCCTGCGGCCCTAGGATATAATTTATTCCAAAAGTATTATAAATGGATGTTCAACCACTTTTAAAAGGCAAAATTACTCCCAGTATCTAGTTATAAATTCAATTTTCATGAAAGAAAATGGTATTTATCATGAATCATTCTAATTTTACACAATTTTTCAAAGCATATGTATAATCATCATTTTACATTGAAAGTAAATTCAAATATTTTTTATTTTTTTAATTGATCATGTTAGTTTTGTGTCATCATACTATCTCTGTTGTATTGTTCAAAAGAAAAGCCCCTCTAATTCTAAATTATGCAAAATTATAGTTTAAAACTTAAACTTGAAGATACGCTGTACATATATAATTGTATTTGACTGTGTTGATTTAATATAATGTTTAAAGGATTTGCTTAATGCAAAGTTTTGCTTGAGGTACCAGTTTTAGAGTGTCTAAATAACAATGTTGGTAATGTTGTGATACGTGATTCTCACCCAAGCAAACCATAGTAACTAATGAATTTGATTGATTGGGGTTTTTTTACGTCCCGTTCGGAAATTTTTCATATAGCTCTAGACGTCATCATATACATGACCGATAGAGTTCTTCAAATTTAGACCTTTTTACGGCACTTATACTGAAAGGAAAAAGAAACGCATAATAGCATAATAGCCAAAAAATTTTTAATTGCCGAAAATTATGAAAATTGGTCAGATGTGTATTTTGGTTACTGTGCACTAAAATCGATGGTCAAAATTACTCAACCATGAAATGTATGGTGTCACGTAAGTGATAAAAAGCCAAATACACGTGCATGTTGATGATGACAATTTTGTAATCACATTTTGTAGTGCCAAGAGATGCATTAGAGTTATAAACATCGTTTTCCGATATTTGCAGTCAGTATAAATTTCTTGCAATCATGGTATGGATGACGGAAGTTACATAGGGTCTAGTAATTGAGTTGCATAAGTGAATAAAAAGGCAACAACATGTTGCTGTGCAGTTTGTTTTTAACTTTTTTTTCGGTTGTCAGAGAGTAATTTAAAAGGTTTTCAACCAACTATGAGGGTGACGTTGGCGTGTAACAACGTCACATCAACATCATCATGCTACCTCGGTTATTGTCAAGTCATTATCACTGAAACCGATATTTTTACGGCAGGCAATCCTACTCATATTTTCACCTTAATATTGACAGAAACTCTCTGCTCTAATTTGGTACGCAAGCTTGGCAACTTTACGTCTATTTTACACTCACACGCGCACGTACGCGCCGTATGCGTATTGTTTTTAGCATGTTCACGCTGAGAAAATGTAGCCAGTATTTGTCGATACTTCCTTACAAACATTCACGTGTACTAAATCAGCTAGATTCTGTAAATTCTATCCTTAATCGAAAATTCGTGGGATTCATTAGGCGGGGGATTTGTTGGCTTAAGAATAATATAGCTACTCTAAATCATTAAGACTACCGTCGGAAGGCTTGAATGATAAATTCTATGAGAAAGATAAATGCTCTGGTGAACTCAATGCACAAGAAAATCAAGGCTGTTACTGATGTGCAAGGGAGATGATGCGATTTTTTATTTTAATTTTGGGGGTATCGACATATCAATTTCAATAACTCAGGAATGATCAGTCAAAGTCACACAAGATTTCGGATTACTTGTTGTTTAAAGTTGAATTAAAATGTTTGATAACATACTGGAAACATATTGGAAACAAAAGTTTTAATTTTATTCTAAAGTTTATTATGCGTTTCTTTTTCCTTTCAGTATATAAGATAACTGTCTAGTGAGGTTTCTTTATCATGTCAACGCTTTCCCCCGTTCACACATAGACGCCGCTTCTACTACGATCAAAGTGTGGTCAAAAGCGTGGCCGATCGTGACAAATCGCAGGAAGAACGTCGTGGGGTCGTCAGAAACGTAGTATGATCGCAGTAGGGTCTTCATGATCGGAGAGCTCTACGCTCTCACCACGCTTATTTTGAACATGTTCAAAATAAACGTGGTGAGATCGTGGCCAAAAAGAATCGGGGTAAAGTCGTAAAAAGGGCGTAGTAAAAGCGCCGTAATCGTACAAGCAGCGCGGAAGCATCGTAGAGAGATCTTCATGATCGTAGTAAAAGCGCCGTGAGAGCGTAGGAATTTACCAAGCACGCTCATACAACGCCCCCTCTACGTTCGTACTACGTTTTCACTACGATCTCTCTACGTGCCTGAAGATCCTACGAAAACCTACAATGACCTTACGCCGATCTTAACACGACCTACCAGACAAGAGTTTGTTCTTATACCGTTGATATTTGACCAATCATCATCTGTTTACTACATGTAAAGGGTTACACTATACTTAATGATCATTTACAATATTGAGCATTTTCACATCTTGTTACAGTTATAATAATTGAAAATGCCCTTAACCATGTGGTTAAGGCCGAAAAAAAAACTGCGGTCGCAAAATATGTATTGACATCGCTAAAATTGTACTACAAAAATCTGCAGTTTCAAGATATATTTACATCATCACCAAAATCGTACTAGAAGTGTAATGCAATCGTAATATGATCGGCACCACCGTAGCGACATCGCGGTACAGTCATCTAGGTCTGTGTAGCGTCGTAGTATGGTCTTCAATGTCGTAGTGGCAGCGTAGCGTAAACACACTAAACACGGCTGCTTGTCGGCAACGGTCTGCGTAACATCGTAGTAATCAGGTTGACAAAAGATAAAAAAATTAACTTCTGTCCCTTTATTGTTTAATGTCCTTCTAAAGAAATTTTCACTCATATTGAGACGCCACCACTTGCCGGTGGAGAGTTGCAAATTTATACCGATACTCGACACGCGGGGCCATTGAGTAGCGAGTAATCTTTTTCGTGCCAACATCTATTGGGACACAAGACTTCGGTTTATACGGTCTCATCTCCGAAGGAGCGGTCTCCACGTCCAACAGTGGGATTCGAACCCGTGTCGTAAAGACTAACACCTTACTCTGCGTCTCTAGAGAGACATAGAACTCAGAATATGCAACAATAATTATCTAATATAAAATACTTTGTGAAGGTTACATATTTAATTTGAGGTAAATCACTTATTTAAACACATAAAATTGCCAGTTGATTCAATCATTTTCATCCATCGAGTTGTGTTTTTATCCCCGAGCTTTTGGCGAGTGCATTTTTTTAATTTCGTACACACGTGCAATATTGATTTTTGCACCATTCTACAGACGTTTATTTCACACATGGTAGTCAGAACTTCGTAGTTCGTTTGTTTTTTGCACTTCAAACTTTTAAATGAAGTCAGACACAAGACAAAGTTTACAAATCTCGGTATCTAAAGATGTTTCTTCCAAATCAGAATTCAAATTAAAAAAAAGGGAAAAGTGATTTTAGAATATTACCTGACTTAAAACTGTAATGGCGGGTGTCCTATTGATCTGAATTCTAAATATAACATGTCTAGGGCTATGTTCTTAAATCACATGACGCTTATTTACTATACAGTGTACTTGTCAGTTTATTATTCTTCCTCAATTTCAGATAAAGGTATTCAAATTTATGGTACTTAACTCATTCCACTTCAATACTTACTTATACAAAGAAAAAAATAATACAGAGTAATTAGATAAATTCATCGTTCACCATTATAAACAGGTTTAAGAATATAAACGCCTACTAGATCAACGCACAATGTAAAAACGCAAGATGTTATAACATAATTTTTGCATTATTACAGTTTACATTGTTACCTGCAAACCCACCTCAAGGAAATCTTAAGTCTTTTAGTACACCAGTTACTAGTGAATGAATAGTACCAGCCTCAAGGAAACATTTAGATATTTACAGGCTCAGATAGTGCTGGACAGTTATTTCACAAAAAAACTCTAAAAGGGATAGCCAGATACTTTGACAGCACTTCAGAGTATAAAATGATAGCTAAGCAGTTGCATGAAGAACATTCAGATACCAATGAAAACATTTATTTATTAGTAATGCGATTCATGTTTTAAACAAAGATATCGAGGATGTAATTCATATATTAAACCGGTTCTATTCAGATAAAGATCTTTTTTTTTATTGAGAGCCATCATCAATAATCAATATATGGCTGGAATATTGCCGATTTGGCGTAAAACATTGATTAATCAAAATCAATCAATAATCTTAAATAGGAATTCTAAAGTGAAGATTATTAAAAAAGCAGTTTAATAAATTTGAACTATTTAGATCATACCACAAAGTGCTTGTAAACAAAATATAGCAGCTATGAAATTCAGTATTTTCTTTCTTATATACAGTGTAATGAAATGCGGTGCAACAATATGTGACTTGTTTTGCCTCAAAATTATTTTTTCCGGCCTTGGAAAATTACAGAATGTCTGATAAAGTATAATGTCTACAGACTCTCTTTTATTATGGGTTGTTAGTCCTACTATTCAGTATCGTGACTGAGTTGGCTGCTTCTCGTGTTATACTATATATATCACATGCTGCTGATGTTTACATACCAGTGTCATCTTGTAATGAGTATATCGCCAATTAAAGTATTTCATTTACAGAATTTTGTGTACCTGACTTTCACTAACAAGGCTCAGTAATTAAATTATGAAATAATTTTTAAAAATTACTTATTGAAAAACAGCATTTTTAATTAATTCCCTAAATTATTTAATACAAAGTTCGTTGTTTTAATTTACTTATAGATTAGAAATTCTTTTAAAATCTAAGAAGTCTGAGAATATTTAAAAGTATGTTACTTTATATTATCACAAAATCGGGATAAAAACCTTAGAAAACCAGTCAATCTTGGGCAACATTTTGGTAGTTAATGTATTTCTTTAATTCTCTGACTTAAAGCTGAACATGACTCCTAAATAGGCATATATGCCATATTAAATCACGATATCTTTGGTGACACATGTTTATGCCTTTGTTTACATTTTATTTTAAATATGTGTCTTTGTGATTGTTTTCATAGTGCACTGACCTCTTTTAACTTTGTAAGTTTCGTTGATGTCTTTTTCTCCTGTAATTGAAGAATTACTTATTATATGTCGTGCATGGAAGAAGTTAATGTTATAGTTGACGCTACCGAATGCTTTGTAGCATACATCTTTCTACGCAGTTTCTGAATTTCAAATTTCGGACAGATTTCCATGAAGTTGTCTTTGACAGAAAGCAGCTTTCTGTTGCCATACATTTACACACACAGATACACCCTCACTCACACAGAGAGAAACTTTTAATAAATACACATAATTTTGTGTGTGAAATCTGCAGCTTTGATTTTACTTATGCTAAATATCAAATTAGAATAGAAACTCTAATATTCTAATATATTTTTGATCTTTTTCGATTTTTGCATTCTCCCATTTTCTTTATGTTTTATTGACAATCGTATTGTAAGTTAACTGGTAATGGCCATTAATGCTGGTAGTACTGTACTAAAATCCTTGTCTATCTGGTTATAGGGAAAACATAAGATTCGTCTTGGTCTCAACAATATGTATTAATCATAAATCAGTTCTCATTTCAACAGGTACAACAATAAACTCTGGTGGCTTCTACCGTACAGGCTACTATTTAAAAAAAGAGGCGTATACAATGGCTATACTAGGATGATCCCTACAGTTAATTACAATTAAATAGGTGTCCAGTGTGTTGGGTGATAATTGTCCATCATTTTCTCACCTGAAATCACAATGGTAATGCTAAATAAGGCTACGGTGAAAATGTGGGCAGATCTTGGATTTACTAGTATCTCTTTGAAATATAAGCGCCTGACAACTCGGCAAATTACCTGTTTACATATTGCGATCGGCCCCTATATATAACCTTCGGAAAGGGTCACATTACTAGATTCAAATGCTGTACGTCGGCGTTCCACCAATCACGGCACTGTACGGTACCGTACAAACAGAGATCGGCCAAGCAGTGCCAAACAAGACTGCCGTACAATGAGGATAATAACTACAAAACGGAATTAAAACGTGAAAAGACAAAATAACTCATTTCAACAGGTACAACAATAAACTCTGGTGGCTTCTACCGTACAGGCTACTATTTAAAAAAAGAGGCGTATACAATGGCTATACTAGGATGATCCCTACAGTTAATTACAATTAAATAGGTGTCCAGTGTGTTGGGTGATAATTGTCCATCATTTTCTCACCTGAAATCACAATGGTAATGCTAAATAAGGCTACGGTGAAAATGTGGGCAGATCTTGGATTTACTAGTATCTCTTTGAAATATAAGCGCCTGACAACTCGGCAAATTACCTGTTTACATATTGCGATCGGCCCCTATATATAACCTTCGGAAAGGGTCACATTACTAGATTCAAATGCTGTACGTCGGCGTTCCACCAATCACGGCACTGTACGGTACCGTACAAACAGAGATCGGCCAAGCAGTGCCAAACAAGACTGCCGTACAATGAGGATAATAACTACAAAACGGAATTAAAACGTGAAAAGACAAAATAACCAATAGATATGGATTACAAAAGATGTGTCTATTATAAGCAAGTAAGCAATTTATCTCTGAAACTTGTAAAGAGCGATATATGGTAAATGTCTCAATTGGCCCCTTAAAATGAATATCTTAATTTTACTTTATATATAGCTTTAATTTGAACAGCTATATAGGCGACCTTTATTGGTCATTTTCATTTTGATTAAAATGCCGTTATTTTAGAAATATGACATCATAAAAATCACGTTTTCCCGCCATTTTAGCATATTTTGTGTAAAATTGTTTATTTACAAGCAGTTTTTCTTCCAGAAAATATAGAGCGCAGCCTAGAACAAGATTTATATTTTTACCAAAGATGTATCTATCTAATACTAATTAGTGACAGAAAAATTATGTATGTTCTACACTGCGCTCTATGTTTCCCATAAGAAAAAAACATCGAGAAAAGGGCATATTTTTGGCTTTTTTGCTAGATAGCAAAAATAGCATTATTTCTAATGTCATTTACAGCTAGTGAGTGCATATCAATGTGAAAAATATAATGGAAATATTTCTAATATAATCTCTTCTACAAAATAAATATCAATTAAACATATCTTAATGTCATTCTTCGGATGAGACCGTATAAACCGAGGCCCCGTGTCACAGCAGGTGTGGCATGATAAAGATCCCTCCCTGCTCAATGGCCCTGAGTGCCGAGCATAGGCCTAAATTTGCAGCCCTTCACCGGCAATGGTGACGTTTCCATATCAGTGAAATATTCTGGAGAGGGACGTTAAACAGTATAAAATCATTAATGTCATTCTAAAATGTAGATTTTTAGGGGGCCAAAATTGGCTCTTATCATATATACTCCTTTCACGTAAATAACTTGCTGAGTAAGCAGACGATATCGCGGATGGATAAAAATACAGTGCAAGTTGTAGACACATGTAATCAGGAATAATAATGGCTTAAAATGAATAGTAGAACCCAATAAAAAATTAACAATATAAATAGCAAGTAACTTTGCCTGTGATATATAGCAAGAATAACATGTTTGGTAAAGTGCTAAACTGTGTACATAATATGCGCCGATATAAAGATGGCAGACAGAATGTAAACAAGTAGCTTGACAGCAGATGATTCAAAGTATTACAGCTTATCCACACATGTAGAACTGCTAATATAATGACAGTTAACTTAAGTAATACATGCAGATTTAAGATTAAAGGTAACTAATTCATGGCATGTAAATATAAATACAAATTCTAACATTCTCAGTCATGTTGTCACAACGTTTTGTCACACATGTAATATCATTACAAGTAAAGTTTACCCACCTAAGAATTATTACATAGTACACCATAGTTAAATTATAGTCACTTGACAGGTCCTTACAGTATTGTTTAATTCAGGGTTTTATTCTGTCATGAAAATGTATCATGTATGAGTATTACATTTTATTGCAATTACTGAGATACTCAGTAATTAGAACCTCGAATTTTGCTAACATTCCCTTCATTCAAACTTCTTTATACCAACATACTCTTTCAAGATATTTCGAACTAAAATATCTTTGCCGTTACTTAATTGTCTCAAATCTGTTTCCATGACATGTTTTAAATACAAAAAACAGAAAATATAGTTAATGGCTGTAATATGTGAAAGTTGCTTTGTTCATCAGTCATTTCAAATAAATAACAAGCATATTAGCTCACATAAATACTTTACATGATTGTATACATGTACAGTATAATGATAATGAATTGAACATCATGCTAAGGATGGAATTTTCTTCTTTGTTTTTTTTTTGTTATTAAGGAGTGCAGTCTGTATGAAGTTGAAGAACATCAATGTAATAAATCTCAAAGAGTATTTTGTTTTACTGTAATCTACATTCGGGTGGTTTTCATTGCAGATATTTGATTTTCTTCACTTTTCTATTTTCCCATTCAGCAACAAACAGATTGTCATTTGTATCTGAACACAGCCCTATGGGATAACTCAGTCCACATTCTATATAACGGAGGAAATGTCCATCCTGGTCTATGATGTGGATACAATCGTTGCTAATATCAGCTGTAAGGATGTGACTCTGACTGTCTGTGGTGATTCCTCGTGGACTGAATGGTTGGTTCTTTGGAGCAGGAGTATGTCCAGTGTACCTGAATCTCGGTTTTCCTGCTCGGTTGACCACCACTACTGCTCCAGCTTCATTATCAGACACACAGATATCCAGATTCTTATTCTCTGTAATGTGTTTTTCTTCAGATTCAGAATAGAGAGGTTTATCAGTGCCTTTAAACTGAATGCTCTCTATCTCTATGGAGCCATAGTATTGAACAACCTTTGTTTGTTTTCCATCATTACTCATTAGAATAACCAATAGATTACCAGAGGATGTGACACAGTTACCAAGAGGTTTCCATTTCTTTAGTCTGATCACCTTCTCTATCTTTTCATTCTTTACAATATTTACAGTTCTATCTTTGTGATCCGTATAAGCTAAATCTCCAATCTTTGTAACTGCTATATCACATGGCCAGTTCCCTGACTTGGTTCTGATTGACTTGAGTAGTGATCCCTGATTGATGCTGAAGAGTTTCATGATGTTGCCATTTCCGCTTGTCCAGATTTCTTCATCACTCAGACAGGCCACATTGTAAAGTCTTTCATACCCCGTCACTATGGTGGTGACGGTCTCTGGTTCATCGAGCAACTGTTTCTCTGGAAGACAGAATTCAGCTTCTGGTAATTTCTGTTTTATGCCGAGTCTGTAGCCTTGTTCATCTGTAGTCATTGAACTTGGTGCTAAACTTCCAAACAGTTTACTAAGTTCTCCTCCTTGAATTCTTCCTGGTGTGAAGTTTGGTAAAGAAGGAACAATTTTTATTGGAAGCCTTTTATATTTCTCTAGGTCAAATTTAACATTATAGAAATAGAAAATGTCTTTAGAGGCCACGGCATCCTCAAGTGAATTAATTTCATCCTTGATGTCGGAAATGTTCTTGTTTACTTCATCCAGATGTTTCTGTAAAGTATTTCTCTGTGTGTTTTTCATTACATCAACTTCAGCTTTAAGTTTCTTGACATGTTCGTCAATTTCTCTGTGCCAGTTCTCTGCATGTTTTGTAATGGCCGTTGAGAGATCTCTATATTTCTTTTCTAATTGACTAATTCTGATTTGAACTTTAGAGGCAATGTCCTGGTAGGTTGGGTAAATTGTTTCCTTTAGTTCAATTTGATTTTGGATGATGGTGTCTCTTTTTTCTTCCAGAATTTGTAATATTTCTGACAATCTGTGACCTAAATGTTGATCGGATGCGATGCATTTATTGCAAAGAGGAGTATCACATTGTTTACAGTACATTTTACATCTTTCTTTGTCATGTGTTGTACATTCAGGATAGATGGGAATAGATTGTTTGTCCTTGAAGTCAACAATTTTATGTGGCTTCGAGAGATTCACAGAAACATGTTCTCCCACACAGGCCTTACACAGGTTGACAAGACATGTATCACAGTGCATCTGTACAACAGCAGTCTCACACAGGTCACATCGCATAACGTCCTGGGCACTGGTACGGGGATCCATATTTTAACTTAAGGCACTGAAATTAAATTTAATGTAACATGAATGATAAAATAAAACATTCAAGAAACGAAGACATTTTGTTTACAAATAAAAAAAAAAATTCACGTGTACCTGTTGTGAAGGGATTTTTTATTGTTAAGTAAATATACATATGTGCTCAACTCTAAAAAGAAATTCTGTTTTTTTTTTCCTTATCCTTTTTTGGAGGGGGGGGGACACATTAGTGAACTGGTGAACATATAAATTAAAGAATCTCTTTCTTCTCATCTGAACACCTTGTTTCATATGGAGGGAATAATGGATAGTTTTAATCATAAAATATTGTTCTCCAATGTATACTCTTCAAGAAAAGAAACGCATAGTAGGAACAATACCCTGAAAAATGTTTGATATTTTTTTTCATAATTTCTGACTTAGAAAGATATGACACATTCGAATAAAATGTATTATTTTTTAATGCAATTGTTAACTTTACATCTACTCTACAAATCTCACAGACAAAAAGATCCGATTTAGCAAAATTCTTAAAAAATATTTGATCTCGATTTTCATTTGTTTGTTTCTGATGCAATTACTTCAGACATAAATGAGCTATCAAATGCGGGGGTTCTCGATATTTTAAATCTGATTTTATCTGAAAATTGACGCTTTCAAAAAAAGCTGCATCTGAATGTTGCATAGAACAAAAAGGAAAATGTGCGACCGGAAGCAGGAGTACCATAGTCTATAATTGCAAATGGTTTTAATGTTATGCACAGCACCATATCTAGCCTATAAAACATAAACCATTAACCCAGAACACCCAATGTTCGCAAAAAATACGGGAGACCACATGTTACATCAGCAGCACAGCATCACTTCAGTGGATTATGTAAACTTCATGAATGTAACACAATGACGTCATCTACAGCATTTACTATCCCTTTACTGCACAGACCATCTAACAAGACTGTTTTCAGTTGACTATGAATTATTGGAAGAGGATTATTCATGCCATTGTTCAAATCCCACAGCACCCCAAATATCGACTTCAAAGATATCCGATCAATAGAGAAAAACCACAGCATCACCGCTGAAAATTTTGGTTGAGCTTATAGTCCATAATGTTTAGAGGAAAGGCTGTTATAAATTTAAGAGTGCAAAAGCTTCATAATGAATGTTAGACAGAAAACTGCCTCCAGGACGTTAAAAAAGTTGGTTAGGGTAGTGTAATGATATGGAAAATGGTACTTGTTCGTATTCAAAGAACTTTGATAGAAAAAAGGTACTCTTACAATATTCAACCTACACATGCTTATTCAATTTTGCGGCATTCTATAGCCGTAGTTCAATCTGACAATACAAAGCAACATACGGCTCGTTTGATACTCCCATTCTTGCAAAGCAACAACAACCTGTTTTTGCCATTGTTATCTAAAACCCGAATTGAGTAGCATTGGACAAAATGGATAGACATGATTTGTCAAAGACAGTCGCATCTTCAGACTCTGCAACAGCTGTCGAAAGCTTTACATTTGGAATGGGAGAGTATTCCTATACAGTTTTTATTAAACACATTTGCTTCCAATAGATGCTGTTTTTGGCTATCATTTGTGTCTGTGGACGGCATACTAGATATTTATATTAAATTACCTTAAACTGTCTAGGATTTTAAAAGTCTTGGATAAAGATGATATTTAGATAGTATTCCTATACGTAATATCGCGAGTACCTTGCAGTTATCTAACTTACTGTAAATCACGTTTTATTACAGTAGTAACAATCAACTGATTCGATCAATTAAATGCCGAAAGTACAATGTATTGCCAAGAATTAGACTCCAAATAGTAGATTGTCAACTAAGGAAAGTTTAGAATATTTTATCAGCTTTAAAATGTGACGATTTTCAATGAAAATTTAATGAGAAAAGTCTGCTTAGTTAAAGATATCGTTAAAAATGTTAAATTTTAAGATTAGCTTATCTCAAAAATTAATCAGGCTGGTTCAGCAATTTTTAAGCAACGTATTCCACCAGGATTTTTTACTTATATATCCTTATAAACTCTACAATGACCGATCATGCATTTTATTCAATAGCACATTTGTCCCCACCCAACAGACGTTTCCTACCTCCATCGCGAAAGAATTCCGCTAAGTTGAGTAATTGCGATATAAACTTTTATTGTAAACCACATATCTGTATCATCAATACATCATTTTACTAAATAACCTTCATGTCCTATGTGTATGGGGCGCCGTTTTAGTATTTACTGCCAAAAGTGATATCACCTATTCGAATAAGTGATATCACCTATTTGAATAAGTGATATCACCTTTTCGAATAGGTGATATCATCTATTTGATTTGAATTGGTGATAACACCTATTCGAAAAGGTGATATCACTTATTCGAATAAGTGATATTACCTTTTGAAAATGAATAGATGATCTCACCAATTCGAATAGGTGATATCACCTATTCGAATAGGTGATATCACTTTTTGCCAATAAATAACAAAACGGCGCTCCATAAATGTGTCACTAAAATTCTACTGTGCGTTTCTTTTCTTCTTTTTTTTTTTTGAAGAGTATTTCTAAGTCATAACATAAAACATTAACATTTGATAGACATATCGCTAACTCAAAATTAAACAATAATTAAGTTATTTAATTTGCCCCCACCACCACTTACGTCACCACAACCTTGCACAATCAATTTGTACTGCGATTTTCAGGGATATAATATTCAGCACAATTTTTCATATCGTTCTGTAAGTGCTCATACAGCTCTACATTTCTTAAAGTCTAAGGAAATCAATCAAAGGTGATTAATTTGATAAATCATTTTATTTGAAGATTAATTAAAATTAATTATATTAAATAAATGATTAATTAAAATCCCTTGTAAGTAAAAATTAATACCTTACTTCAGGCAGTAATGGCGGCCGCCCTGTTGATGTTTCTGCGAGCTTGATAGAAATAGATTTTCGGAAGTGAAGATAAGGTAAAGAGCACATGGCGGAATGCGAACGTAATAACACTGTAAACAACAACAGTTACATGAGGGGAATTCTAAAATGAATGGGAAAATTAAGGCGGGGGGGGGGGGGTCGATGTTGTTTGTTTTGGTAGGTCATGGCTTGTACAATAACTTATATTTTGCACAAATGCTTTAAATGATTTCTTTAATATGCAAGAAAACAGATGCCGAAGAAATTTAAACATTTATATCAGTTATCCGACACCCCGTGGGGATCCGGGTTAGAATAGGTCCTCAGTACCCCATTGCTTGTCGTAATAGGCGACTAAATGGGGCGGTCCTTCGGATGAGACGGTATAAACCGTGGCCCAGTGTCACAGCAGGTGTGGCACGATAAAGATCCCTCCCTGCTCAATGGCCCTGAGTGCCGAGCATAGGCCTAAATTTGCAGCCCTTCATCGGCAATGGTGACGTCTCCATATCAGTGAAATATTCTGGAGAGGGACGTTAAACAGTATACAATCAATCAATCAATCAGTTATCCAACATTGCTATCCTATTGAGTCTTGACAGTTAGACAGATGAAAAGAACATTATTAACTAAATATGGTAAGAGACGGATTATCTTAAATTATTTTCTGATTGCTACATAATCAAAAAATAATAAAAAAAAAATCTTAAAATCAACAGATTACAATAGGCAGTCCAAAGACTTGAACAATGATTATAAAAATAAGTAAATGATGCAACAACGTCGGTCATATCTATTGAAATTATTTTTTCACCATGAATTCAGATATTTTAAACTTCAAATCTGATAAGTGGTACGCATGTCAAACTTTATTTAATTTTTTTTATCAATTCATTCTCTATTTAAAAACAAAATAGAATTTTAAAAGGGTTTTAAAAAAGTTTACAAAACCTAATTTTTAAGCTTTTTAGAGTATAGTATGATTTCTCATGCTCTTTTGATCAATTTCTCTTTGATAAATGAGGAAAAGTTTTATGACAGAATATCTTTGTTATTTAAGAAAGAATTGAAAAGGATTTATTGACATCACGCCCAAGTTTGTAACTTCTTAATTAATAGCATCGTGGAAGATTTCCCATTGTAATTGTTTATAAAATGAAATGAATTTGTTTTTATTAAGGGGGTCTAGTTAACATCAATTCATTATACTTCTCCCTGCATGCTTAATTTTTTAACTGCTTCCTAAAAACAGCGTCTTGTTACTTTGTACCTAATTTCGATGTATATTGACTTGCCAGTATGCAAGATTCAAAATTCATACAAAAACCGGCTTAGCCCCCCCTCCCACTTTTTTTGCAAAAATAGACATTATATAGGCATTGAAAATTGGGTTTTACCTTTTTTGTTGGTTTAGCACACACACACCCCACTTCTGATTATGTTATAAAACATGGACTCCAGGAAATACTATATGTAGGATGATGAATTGAAGAAAACTACAAAAAAGAGTATACTGATAATAAATAACTGTCATTGCAAATATTTTATTAAAAACAGAAAAAAATACTTCAATGTATACAACAACATGAAAAATTCAAATTGACCCAGGTTTGTACATATACATGTACCGTAGGTTAATTCTATCTCAGTGTGGATTTTTTCTTTTTGGCTCAACATTTGGGAAGAAGACCTATAGATATTTTTCCTATACATATATATAAGTTTGGTTGAAATTGGTCCAGTAATTCTAGAGAAAAAGATGGAAATGTGAAAAGTTTATAAAAATGACGACGATCGCGCCAGTTGATCATAAAAGCTCACTTGGACCTTCGGCTCAGGTGAGTAACAATTAATAATATTAAAATTCTCTGGAAAATGAACATCATGTGATCATTCCTGTGATGACCGAGGCGGAATACGCTAAAACAAAAACTCAATTCTTCATAATGAACATGCACATTTCCTTGATTTAAAAACCTTATTTCAAAATCATTTACATATGAAGAGAATAAAATAGGAGACAGAACCTCCCCAAGTAAAAGTTCGTTTTTGTTCTTGGATAATTTTAATGACATATTTTACACAATTCATACTAGAATACATTGGCTTGATAATGAAGTGTAAGTTCCCCTCAATTACATATGAACTAAGTTTGTGTCTTAAATATGCGCGTTCTATCATATCAAATGCTTTTTTTTTAATCTATAAAACAACATTTAAGACTAAAATTCTATGATTGATTTATCATTGTATGTAGACAAAATATTGCGTCAGCTATTCCACGTTAAGACTTAAATCCAAAATGTGCATCTGAAGTAACACAGATTTTGTTTGAACATTTTAATAATCTTTGATTTAAAACAATAGAAAAAAGTTTGCAAAAATAACTGAAAAATAGGTACAAAAATTGATTTTGTCCACGTATATAGAAAAATACCAGATTGAAATATTCTATTAAATAAGTTATGTATAATAGGCAGCAAAATGGTGTACAATTTAATAAAATACTCCTAAATAATCAATCCGGTTCAGTGATATTTTTCTCCGTTAAACTTAGTAAGTGTTTCTAGTATTTCTTTGTCAGATATTTCACAGTCAAATTCTTCGAATACTGTCATACATTCATACATTCCACAGATTTATTTTCATTCCAGTTGGCCTTTGATCAGATAATTCTAGTGCTGGGATATAAGAAGCTGACAGACATCAGAGAATAAAATCACCAGGCTTTTAGATAATCTAACTTTGGCCACATAGTATCTTAACAGAAAAATATATATGCTACATGTGTAAATACATTTCATTCCAGTTGGCCTTTGATCAGATTATTCTAGTGCTGGGATATAAGAAGGTGAAAGACATCAGAGAATAAAACTAGAGGTACTGTGAGCATGAGCTCACTAAATGATACCCCCCGCCTCCCATATGGTTATAACTGGTGAAAAAGTCCATGTATTCCTGTGGCCGGGAAACCCAAAATATGTGTCAGATCGAAAAGTAAAATAGGAGGTGCACAATGGCAATATGTAATAAAGATTCTGTGAAAGTTTCATCAAATTTCATTCAGTGGTATGAGAGGAGTTGCGGATAAGAGATGGGTACCCCAAAGCGTAACAGACGGACGGACAGACAGACAGACGGACGGACGGACGGACGGACGTACAGACGGACGGACGGACGGAATTAACGATTACTATATACCCTCCCGCTTAAATACCCTCCCGCTTTTCAAGCGGGGGGTATAATCACCAGGCTTTTTGATAATTTAACTTTGGCCACATAGTATCTTAACAGAAAAATATGCTACATGTGTAAATACATTTCATTCCAGTTGGCCTTTGATCAGATAATTCTAGTGCTGGGATATAAGAAGGTGACAGACATCAGAGAATAAAATCACCAGGCTTTTTGATAATCTAACTTTGGCCACATAGTATCTTAACAGAAAAATATGATACATGTGTAAATACATCGGTGATATATCTTACTGCAGATATTTAATTTTCTTCACAAGTCTGGGCATTAATTCAGCCACAAACAGATTATCATTATTGTCTGTACAAATTCCCCGTGGATCACACAATTCAGATATTATAAAACGGAGGAACTGTCCATCCTGGTCTATGATGTGGACGCATTGATTGTAAGAATCAGCTGTAAGAATGTGACCCTGACTGTCTGTAGTGATTCCTCGTGGTATAAATGGTAATTTTTTAGGAGCGGGAAAATGTCCAATATATATGAATCTCAGTTTCCCAGCCTGATTGACCACCAATACTGCTTGGCTTCCATAATCAGAGACACAGATATCCAAGTTCCTGTTCTCGGTTATTTGGATATGAGATGCACCAGAAAAGAGAGAATTACCTTCATCATCAAACTGAATGCTTTGTTTTTCGGAGGAGCCATTGTATCGGACAACTTTTGATGGTGTGTAATCATCACGATGGTTCAATAAAACAAGCAAATCTCCGGTGTAGGAGCAACAGACACCTGTAGGTTTCCAGTTCTGTAGTCGGATCACCTCCTCTATCTTCTCATTCTTCACAATGTTCACAGTATTTTCAATGTAATCAGCATAAACTAGATCTCCGCTTTTTGTCACTGCTATGTCCCATGGCACGTCCCCAGATTTTGATTTGATTGTCTTGCCTGCTGATTTCCCATATATGTTGATACGTTTCATGTACTCACAATCTTTACATATCCAGATTTCTTCATCATTCAGACAGACCACTTTGTAAAGGAATTCATACCCAGTGTCTATGGTTGTAACTATCTCTGGTTCATCAAGAAAATGTTTAACTGGAGGAGAGGATCCAGCTTTTGGTGATTTCTGTGTTGTCTTCATGCTGTAGCCATGTGCATCTGATGTCAGAGAACCTGTTGATAAAGCTCCAATCAATTTTAAAACGTCATCTTCTGGGAAATTTTCTGGTGTGAATTTTGGTACCAAAGGTAGGATTCTTTCTGGAAGTTTTCTGTATTCTTCAGCATTGAATTTAACATTGAAAAGTACGGAAATATCTTGAGAGTCCAAAGTATCTTCAAGTAAATTTATTTCTTTTTTGATTTCAGATACGTTCTGCTTAATTTCATCCAGTTGTTTCTGTAGAGTTTGTAATTGTGTCCTCTTCGTCTTATCAACTTCAGCTTCAAGTTTATTGATAAGTTTATCAATTTTTCTGTGCCAGCTTTTTCTATGTTGTGAGATGTCTACCGAAAGATCCGCATATTCCTTTTCTATCTGGCTCATTCTGTTTTGTATATCAGATTCAATGTCCTCGTAGGTGGGATAAATTGTTCCTTTTAATTCAGTATGTTCCTTGATGATTTTGTCCTTTGTTTCATTCAGAAGTTGCAATATTTCTGATAGTTTGTGACCTAGATGTCGATCAGATGAGAGGCATTTGCTGCAAACAGGAACGGCACATTGGTTACAGAACATTTTACAACGTTTTGGGGTATGAATTGCACACCCAGGGAAGAGGGTGGTAAATTTTCTGTTCTTGATGTCAACAATTTTGTGGGGATTTGAAAGATCAGCTGAGGCATGGTCTCCCACACAGGCCCAACACAGGTTGTCCAGACATGTATCACAGTGGATCTGTACCACAGCAGTCTCACACAGGTCACATCGCAATACATCCTGGGCACTGGTTTTGGGGTTCATGATTTTTAAGCCTTTGGATCTGAAATGGAAATGTTCTGAATGACTCCATATGTAATATGCAAGTACTGTAGAAGTACTACTTATGTGTGGTATTAATGCAATTGGCCTAGTATGTATGCGGGCAAAAATTTTCATGCAAAAAATTATCCAACCGCTCTTAATACACATGAAAGGCATATAGTGCGAATCTAGAAAATCTGCGTCATTTTTTTTCCAATTATTTTAAAGAAAGGTAGAGATTCCTCAGATTTACGACTGCGTGGGGGGGTCTATAGTATGTATATGAGGCATGCCAATTTACTCAAATGGACCCAAATATAACCCAGATGGCGTATTATATATATATTATCGAGTACACATGAAGTTAAATATTGAAAATGATAACACTATAATAAACTTTCAATTTGAGTAAATATAAGCTATTAATTTCTGATATTGTTTTTAGGTACAAATTATTTTTTTTATAGTTTTCGATATATATTAGCAAAATTGGTGAAAACGACACTTCGAGAATACACCAAACGGCACCTGAGAATAGTCAAAACGGCAGTTTTATTTTAACACCCCCCCCCCCCCCATTCGGTTCCTGCAAAAAAATATGACAAATAGAAAAATTGTATTTTAAAATACAATTTTAGAAATGAATAATTATTATCTTTCTGTAAAGAGGATCATTATTTTCACTATTTTAAATATAAAAATACGATTTAATATTCCCTTTGGATCCATTTGTTTTTCATTTGGTTCCATTTCGGTTTCTATTTGAGTAAATCGACGCACCCGTATATATTTTGTCGAAACTCTATTTCTATACACCATGTTTCGTATTTTAGCCATGCAGATTTTAGATCTTAGATCCACCTATTTGTGGTTTAGTTTCAGTATCTTTAAACATTCTTTGTCGTCATTGTCGTTGTCACGTAATTAAGTATGATAGAGATCAGGGGTGTATGAAAGAGTGAGAGAGAGAGTTATGGTCATTACTAACAAAACTTGTTTCAAACTAGATATACCGCCCATACCAATGTACATCGTCAAGGTAGTATATGTAGCACATAATGTATAGTATGAAGATACAAATAAAAAGAGTGGTATAGACTGGTAAGGTTTATCTATATTCATTATTCATAATTTCCAGTGACTTATATATTTAAGTAATTAAAATGTAATGTTGACGTTAAATTTGTAAAGCTAATAAGCTGTGTGTAAAATATAAATGTTTAGAATTTTGTAGGTTTTCTCCATATATACATAAAATATAAAACCCAAGATTACTGAATTTTTCTTATCTCTACCGAGGGGTCACAATGGCGCCCACGTTGGGACAACAACCAACAATCAGCAAAGCTAGATACAACCAGCAATAGAAGGATTTCTGCTCTTGATATTACAACTTTAGTATTTCTTAACGTCCCAGAAAACTCAACTTGGTACAGATGCTCTTTCCAGAATTTTTTTTATTATCAGCTTCAGTTCAAACCATTTATAATTCAGCAAAGATATGTCAGACATAGACTGGAAGAGAGAACAGAGAGAAGATAAAGCCATAGCCTCAGTGATTGAGATATTAGAGCAGAGAGAAAAGGGTAGGAAGGAATCAAAAATGGTTCAGTAATATTTAAGAGAGAGAAAGAAACTTCAGATCATTAGTGAGATTATATACAGAAATTCCCTCTTAGATGGAGAAAAAGTTGTTAAACTTTGTTTGGCAGATCATTTCAAATATGCAGTTTTCTTAGGAATTCACAAGACGTAGGACATCCAGGGAGAGGGAAGACAATTTGGCTAGCGTAGCAGAGTTTATCACCCAAGATTAGAGCAAGACGTCAAAGCCAGGGTAGAGAACTGTGAGAGATGCATCAAAAGTAAAACACCTATCAGACCGAGAGCCAATCTTCATCTAATTCAATCAAACCGTAAGAAATTCTTTGTATCGATTTTTGTCCTTGTAGAAATGTTAGGGCGGTGAAAATATTCTTGTTATTACAGAGCACTTTTCCAGATATGTCTTTGTTCTTCCATTAAAAACCAGTTAGCAACTACAACAGCTAAAACTTTATAAGAAAATATTATGGTCCATTACAGTTTCCCAGGTTAACTCCATAGCAAGCAAGGGAGGAAGCCAAGTCATCCAAAAATTTTACAAAATAGCCAACATAAAGAAATCGAGAGCAACGCTATACCATCCTAAAGGCAACGGATTAGTTAAAAGATCTAGCCAAACCCTTATTAAAATAAGTATACAAGAAAAAAGCCAGAGAGCAGATTGGAAATCTTATGTTACAACATTAGTGCATGCCTACAATTCAGTTAAAAATGATGTCATTGGCCATGGGTATTCTCCACATTTTTTTTCCACAGTACGCCAGAAAGATAGCACTGTTCATATAAAATTACCGCAGAAGAGAAAACAAAATTAATGCAAATCCCACTTCTGATGTTTTGGAGGTCCTGTTTGCTCTGCTCCTGTTTTGTATAGTTTTATGGACTCTGATTTTATCTCAGTCACCTAGATACCATTCTTCTGTACGCAAGCCTACTTTACCATTTATTCTACACCTTTCAGAAGAAAAATTAGGGTAAGTAAACCACCGCAGAGATATGGGGAGTCCATCATGTACAGAATGTGAACCAGCTGCATGCTTACTTAGAGACACTAGTATAGTACCAACATTAGTGATTAGTTAAAGACCCTTGTGTAGTTTGTCTATGTGTCAGTGTGTTTAGCTATAGATATTTTCATGAAGTTATGCTTCTAATAATTTTTTACTATGTGTATAATTACAGGTATGTGTATAGTATATATTATAAGATGACAACGATGAAGTTTGTTCTTCATCAGTATTTCATCTGATGTATGATAGCTAATATATTTTTTAAAAAAAATATGACCACCTGACCCATGCCGTCGTACCCTTGTTATGAGGTAATGTCAGGAGCCATTTTCTCCTGGCAGGGGGAACGTGTAGCCAGGAGATAGATCTTAGACCCACCTATTTGTGGTTTAGCTTGGTATCTTCATTGTTTGTCTGGCGTCATTGTCGTTGTCACGTGATTAAGTATGATAGAGAGAAAGGGGTGGATGAGAGAGAGAGAGAGAGAGTGAGCCTTGTTCATTACTAAAAAAAACCTGTTTTAAACTACTTGCCCGTCCAGGTTGTTGCACATAATTTATAGTATAATTATGAAGACACAAGTACATGTATATAGGGTGATATAGACTGGTAAGGTTTAATTTATCAATATTCATAATTCAATATTTCCAGTTACATACATATTCAAGTAATTAAAATGAAAAGTTAATGTAAGATTTGTAAAGCGAACATTTAAAGTTAGTGAACTTTTTGTAAAGTATGATTGTGAATGTTGTGGGTTTTCTCCATATATATACATAAATTTTTTTCCATATATATACATAAAATATAAAAACCCAAGAATACTGAATTCTTCTGATCTCTACCGACGGGTTATTGTATGATTCAAAAGGAATTAAACTCAGAAGGTACTAAATTAACTCTTTTCTTTATTTATATGACTTTTCTTGATATGGAACTCTTTGCAAAATAGAATGTGGTATTAAAAAAAATTACCTGACTTAAAACAGTAATGGCGGATGTCTTCTTGGTCTTAAAACTAAATATAACCTGTCTATACGTCATTAAGATCACATGACACTTACCTTTCTTTTATAATATTATACTTCCTAGTTGTAGTGGAATTTAAATATTAATGATTTTGACCGTGCATCTTAAACACCCCTACTAATGTGTTCGGAACCTTTTTATTTTTCGGTGTTCTGCAAATTATAAAACCCAAGGAAATGTTTTAAAAGAAATAGACTTCACAAATTTCCTGTTTATTGCACATTTTATTAATAAAACTGGTTCTACCCTATAACCTGTTAATGGGCCAACCTACACAACGTGTCTTGAATTTAAATCACAATAACATAAGAAGGGGTGTTAAAGGCGTTGTCAGGTATATCTTTGGATTGTCATATTTGGCCTAACCCTTTAAACGGGTACAAAACATGAAGAAAAATAAATCTACAATTTAAAACTTTTTACACTGTCAAATATATCTTGATAAGACCTTGCAAATTAATATATTTGTTTTTAGTTTTAGTGCACATATGAAGAAAACATGTGCTTCAAGACCATAAACTGATTACGGACTAAATAGGGAATTGTGCTAATAATACGTTTGCCTTTCTGCAATACAGGGGGCTTTTTTTCTCAAGGAAACTGCATTTTTGAAGTTTGAAAACAACACTTTTGTCTAATTCAATATCCATTTTCCTGTTAACTGAAGTAATAAACATAAATCAGAATGAATGTGATAGTTCATTATCAGTTACTGTACCTACTTCAGCAATACCACCAAAATATGTCAAAAATGTCACAAGATCGGCAGAAACCATTAATCTATGGCACCATCTATACACACATATGGATCCTTTACATCCTCGCTCCGTTATTTGAGGGTCTTGAGTTCAAGCTCCTTTGGGTTTTCTGGGTGCATAGAGGTAATGTAGTCGATATGAATGCGATGTCGTGATAATATTGTTTACATTACAATGTCGACGATGTCAACATAACAATGTAGACGATGTAAACGTGGTATCGTATCGACATTGTCTACAATGCATTGTCGAGGATATCCACATATAGCGTAGACACAATACTAATGTAGACGATGTGAAGGGGATATACTAGTATCGTATTAACTTAGTCTACAAGGAATTTCCGACGATATCGATTTGAAGTTTAAACTAGAATAAATGTATTTCAATGGAGATATTTGATTTTCTTCACAGATCTGGGCATTATTTCAGTAAGAAACAGATTGTCATTTGTGTCTGTACACAGTCTCCAGGGAACTTTGAGTTTACATATTATGTAACGGAGGAACTGTCCATCCTGGTCTATGATGTGGACACAGTGATTGTTACAACTTTGTAAAGTAGTTGATACTCCATGATGTATCTTATGAGTATAGTCACTGGTTCATCAAGAAAATGCTTGACTGAAGGGGATAATCCAGTTTGTACTGGTGATTTCTGCATTGTCTTCATACTATAGCCATGTGCATCTGATGTCAGAGAACTTGATGATAAAGCTCCAAGCAATTTTAAAACTTCATTTTCTTGGAATTTTTCCGGTGTAAATTTGGGAACTGAAGGTAGGATTCTTTGTGGAAGTTTTCTGTATCCTTCAGCATTGAATTTAACCTTGTAAAGTACGGAAATATCTTGAGTATCGAATGCAACTTCAAGTAAATTTATTTCTTTACTTATTTCAGATACGTCCTGCTTTATTTCATCCAAATGTTTTTGCAGAGTTTGTAACTGTGTCTTCTTCGTCTTATCAACTTCAGTTTCAAGTTTATCAAATATTTTGTCGATTTTATTGTGCCAGAACTTTTTATGTTGTGAGATGTCTACTGAAAGATCTGCATACTCCCTTTCTATTTTCATCATTATATTTTGTACATCGGATTCAATATTCAGGTAGGTTGGATAAATTGTCTCTTTTAATTCAGCATGTTCCTTGATGATATTGTCTTTTGTTTCATTCAGAATTTGCAATATTTCTGATAATTTGTGACCTAGATGTCGATCAGTTGAGAGGCATTTGGTACAAACAGGAACGGCACATTGTTTACAGAACATTTTACATCGTTCTTTGTTGTGAATTATACATCCAGGGTAGAGGGGAGAAGACTTTCTGTTCTTGAAATCAACAATTTTGTGAGGGTTTGAAAGATCAGTTGAGGCATGTTCGCCAACACAGGCCTTACACAGGTTGACAAGACATGTATCACAGTGCATCTGTACCACAGCGGTCTCACACAGGTCACATCGCATCACGTCCTGGGTACTGGTTTTTGGGTTCATCATTATCTAAACCACTCGATCTGAAATTGAAGTGTTCTGAATGAATTATAATATATACGTACTGAAGAAGTACTGAGTACTCTAATTATCTGCGTGGTATTAATATACGATATGTACGCGGTCACAAATTTTCTGAGGAAAAATTAATGGCCTTCCGTTCTTAATACACATATACATGTACATGTATGAAAAGAATATAGTGAGGGTCTAGAAAATCGGCGTCATATTCCACCAGTAGATAAAACAGAAATAAAGATCAGCCAAATTATGACACCGTGGAAAAGGTATTTTTGGAATATATAGCATTGGAGTTATTATTTATAAATATGGAACTCGTGCAAACCAGAATTGGTAAAATATATTACCTGACTTAATACAGTAATGTCGGATGTCCTCTTGGTCCTAAATCTATTTGAAACCTTCTCTACGTCCTTCAGATAACGTGACACTTACCTGTATTATATACCTTTCTTGTATTATACTTCCTAGTTATTGTGGAATTTAATTAAATATAGGGCTTAGCCCTTTAGGCGACAATAATTTGAAGAATAAATAAATAAATCTATAATTTCAAACTTTTTACTCTGTTAAATATATCTTGATGAGATCTTATAACCAATTAGTTTATTATGTTCCCCAAACGAAGTTGGGGAACATATTGTTTTTACTCTGTTTCTTATTATTATTATTAAGGTCTTCCGTCTCCAACGGAAGACCTTATTGTTTTCGTTCGGTTTCTTTTTCCCTATTATTATTATTTTTTTTCTTACCTATTTTGTGCACGCGATTTCTCGGAAACGGCTCGCCCGATTTTCACCAAACTTTCAGATCTGATAGATATTCATCTGAACCTTGTCGGAAATTTTCGTCGCTGATGACGTCACTTCCGGTCGTGAGATATGGACGATTTTCTGATTTTTAGAGGGTAGGCTTGTCCTGAGATCTCCTCCTAAACGACTGAAGATATCGACTTGAGATTTTCAGTGAAGGTAGAGGAAGGATTGTAGATGTGACATTTTGCATAGAAAGCTTTCCAGGTAAAAAGGAATCGACGCTCGCCTAGGCTAAATAAATAGGCTCATACGCATCTCGCAAAAATTGATACGTTTTCTTTTATATCTTTTTACTGGTTAATATTTTGTTAAGATATATATGATAAAAAATGTGCAATATAGTAAGACCTTTCATTTGATATGAAGAAAATGGGGTTAGCCCTTCAAATTAGGGGCAAAGAGGGGCCAAAAGTCTCTCGTCTTTAACTCTTTGATGATCAATATTTTGTGATATATTACTGAAGCAAAGATACTCAACTTAACTATTTGCAACAATATATACTAAAAATTTGATCATATGTTACGTAATAAAGGGTCACAAGGGGCTAGAATGCTAAATCTTTGACGCTTTATATCTCGAAAAGCGTGAATATTTTGATAAGCAATAATGAACAAAAGATGGTCAAAATAATGTTCCCAACAATATGCATACATTAAATTTGTTCGTTTTTTCCGTCGACACTTCCGTTGTATACCGGAAGTACATTAAATTTAAATGCATGTACATGTATCGCGATTTTTTTTCATTTTCTAATGAATGTAATTGTTCATTATAGAGATTTAAAGAATGCGTAGCATCTTAATATTTCCACCGGAAGTACGGTTCGTTCAAACCGGAAGTTGTCTAGAAATGAGTATTTTCCATCGAAACTTTCAGGGATGATTACTGCATGCTAGATGTAGAGTTGAAAGTAGTTTTGAGCACATACGGTCGCACCGGAAGTGAAGAAATAGAACCGAAAGTTGATTGGAATTGATAGATCCTACATTTTTGTGTTTCTAAACATATTTTGAAGAATTCTTGTGCCTTTTTGACATTTTTCATCCTATCAGTGGAACTATCCCAACACAGGTCTTATTCAATCAGATATCGGACGGAAGACCTACTCGTTGCTTGCAACGAGATCGCATCTAGTTATTATTATTTTTCTTCTTCTTCTTCCTGGGTACTTTTTTGTCCGGGAATGATCTTGTAAACTGTTTGTCCGATGTAGGTAAAATATTTTTAGGGTAAGTAGACATGTTATGTAGATTTGCGGAATGAAGGTCATTTTGTGCGCACGTGCTTGCAAGAGCGTGCACGTGCAACACGTAAAATGACCAATATAATCGATATAGCGGCAACTTTTTTTTATTTTTTGATGAATTGCTTTGAAACTCATAATGTGAGGATATATTAGTAGTATAGACATGATGAGATGGTCAAAATAGCAAGATCTCACGCGCTTGCATGTGCGCTTCGCTCTGATTGGCTGAAACTAAAGTCTCCATATCTTTCTTGTTTCTTGTCATAATCCTTTGAAATTTTGAACATAGTCCTACATTATAAAGATCTACAGCCTGATATATAAAAATTTTCAAGAAAGCATGCGCATGCACGTGTGCTGCAATCTGATTGGCTGAAAATTAATATAGCTATAACTCCCTTAGTTTTCAACCAAACAGGATGGAATTTGGAACATAGATAGATATAATGGACTTTTACAAGAAGGTATGGTCACCATGCACATACATACACATGCGTGTACGTGCGCTGCAATCTGATTGGCTGAAACTTTAAACAGCTATAAGTCCCTTGGTTTTCAACCAAACGGGGTGGGATTTAGAACATAGATAGATGTAATGGACTTTTACAAGAAGGTATGGTTACCATGCTCATGTATGCACATGCGTGCACGTGAAATGAGTAAAATCAAAAATACACTTGAATGAGCGTATTTTTTAATCATTTTGGATTAAATACTTTAATATTTAGTATATTTAAATATATAGATTGTATAGGCAAGATGATATGGTCATTACGCAAATGCATTCACATGCGCACGCGTGTAATGCTAAAATTTGAATGAACTTGGTACACTTCTGGGTAAACGTTGGTAAAGTCTGAAATGCATCGAGTTTGTCTTCTTTAATGACGTTTACTGGGAATATGGCACCAAAAGGGAGTTGGGGAGCGTTTGGGGAACATCTGTAACGGTCCCCGTTACAATTAGCACTAGTTATTATTAAGGTCTTCCGTCTCCAACGGAACGTCTCCAACGGAAGACCTTCTTGTTTTCGTTCGGTTTCTTTTTCCCTATTATTATTATTATTCTTCCAACCGATTTTGTGCAAGTGATTTCTCAGAGATGGCTCGTCCGATTTCTACCAAACTTTCAGATCTGAAAGATATTCAATTAATCTTGATAGGTTTTTTTCCTTTTTGATTATCTCACTTCCGGTCCTGAGATATGGACGATTTTCTGATTTTCAGAGGGTCGGCTTGTCCGGGGAACTCCTCCGAAACGACTAAAGATATGGACTCGAGATTTTCAGGGAAAATAGAGGAAGGTTTGGTGAGTTGTAATTGCGTCTCCAAATCTTTCTAGCGCAAAAGGCACCGAAGTTCGGTAGGGCCGAAAAAATGTCTCAGAAATATCTCACAAAATTTGACGCATTTTGTCTCATATCTTCACACCTGTTCATAATTTGTTAAAACATATTGAAGACAAAATGTGCAACATCGCAAGACCTTTCATTTGATATAAAAAAAATAGGGCTGACCCTTCAAATTAGGGGCTAAGAGGGGCCAAAAGTCTTTTATCTATAACCCTCTAATGATCAATATTTTGTTATACATTATTGAGCAAAAGTATTCATCTTAACTATTTGATGCTTACTATCTAAGTTGTTTGAAAATTGGCTTATCTAAATTCTAGATATTAATATTTGAAAATCTGAAGCGGGCCCCAGATGGCGGCTGTCTTTGTCAATTCCGCCATTTCGCAATTGGGGTTTATGGAGGCAGCTGAGCGTTTGATTAAACCATTCTGACATACGAATGCATGAAATGTAAACAAAACTACTTGGACTTTCACGTAGTAGTACGTTGCAATTCAGTGTCAATCTTAACACTTAATTTCCGTTTCACTACTTAAGTTTAACTGGGCTAGATACGATATATGTAATGTGTACAAAGACTTTTTAAACGTCGAAATAAAATAAAGGCGATAAGAACGTTTTATTTATTTTATTTCATTGCAGCTATCACACCAATTGAATAGATAAGTTCAAAGAAAATGCGCGAACATTTACTCCTGGCGTTTGGCGCAAATTATTAATAGTGACCCGCCTTTTATGATTCTTAGACAGGTGTACTGTTGCAAAAGTATACACACAAGTATATTTAGAGCAGTACTCCCAAAAGCTTAATGGTTTGCGCGTTGGGGATAAAACAGAAAAAGGCGACATGGGTTCAATCCTCTTTGCGACCAAAATTTTGAATCTTTTTCTGTGATATTCATGGCTAAGTAAAGGCCCCTATTTGCTGATTTAACGTATAATCAGTTTCTTGATTTGATAAAGAAGAAATTAAATATCTTTGAATGTCTTAGAACTTTCGCAAGCCTAGGTTCAACGTTTTTTTAAACACTAAAAAATATTCATTTCATTTTCTCATAAATAGGCTGCGCGGATAATGCACATGGTGCCAATGTGCAGGTAAGGTCATCCCCGTGATGGGGAATGGACCTGTAGAAAACCTTCTCTGGTTCTGCAGAGTCGAGTTTTTAGCAAATAAAATGTATGAAAATGCGCGAATAATTACTCCTGGCGTTTGGCGCAAATTATTAATAGTGACCCGCCTTTTATGATTCTTAGACAGGTGTACTGTTGCAAAAGTATACACACAAGTATATTTAGAGCAGTACTCCCAAAAGCTTAATGGTTTGCGCGTTGGGGATA